CCTGCTGTAAATCTGAAAACACTGGTTAAACTGCATTCCCTCTCTGTGATCTTTTTCTAAGCTATGTGCTCTTCTTGCTGTACTCTTTCAAGATGACCTCATAGGGCTTCAACTGTTACCTATGTACAAATGATTCACAATTGACATCACCAGCCCAGATCTCTTTTCGGCCCTAGCCCTAATCGCCTATTTTAGATCTCTTCGTGGATGCCTTGAAGGCACAAAAACTATTCAAGATCTGCTTCCTCCTTATTTACTCCTTAAAAGCCCCCCACCCCCGTGACACCGCTAACCATATGCTTTTTCAAGCTAGAAATCCAGAACTGAAACTGCTCTTCTCTTATCCTTCTCCCACCCAAAACATAAGTCTTACCAATTTTATCTCCTAAATATTTCCTGAATCATCTACTACCCATCTCTACACTTCCCTAGCCACCAAGGAAACTGTTTAATTATTGTATATGCCTTTTAATTTGTTCAACCACATCCCTTGTTGATTTTACAATGAAGACCAGGATCTATATGCCCTGTATGGTCTGGCCCCCACCTCATCTCACATGTAAGTTCCCCTGGATCAGCCTTCTAGATACACTGGCCAATATGAAGTAGAGAAACAAAAAATGGCTGAAAGTAATTCAGATGACAAGTAGGTCAGATGACTTTGTAACCTTGACATAGTCTACATTCCTTGACAGCTGGCACCTAGACCAGCGGTCGGCAAACTCATTAGTCAGCAGAGCCAAATATCAACAGCACAACGATTGAAATTGCTTTTGAGAGCCAAATTTTTTAAACGTAAACTATATAGGTAGGTACATTGTTATTAACTTAATTAGGGTACTCCTAAGCTGGCCTTTGCTAAAAACGTCCTCAATCTGATGGAGGTACGTACGCTGAGGTGGACCCCTTCCAACTCTCCCATCCACACTCGTCTTGTATACTTGTTTCATCTATCTCCTTTCCGAAAATCGACTTCTGCGCATGGGCCACAAAGTTTCAATCGCACTGTACGTGCGTGTGTGCGTGCCCGCACGTGGTATTTTGTGGAAGAGCCATACTCAAGGGGCGAAAGAGCCGCATGTGGCTCGCGACCCGCGGTTTACCGACCACTGACCTAGACTATCTGAGCTACAGGATTAAAAATATATAGACATAACATATGAATAGAATTAAATAAAATATATATTTGCCCTAATTGTAACGAAAAATGCTTACTGGTTTCAATATATATACATATATAGAGAGAGATTTTAGAGAGGAACGGAGAGGGAGAGAGAGAGAGAGAAACATCAATGATAGAGAGAGTCATTGATCGGCTGCCTCCTACACGCCCCCAACTGGGGATCAAGCCCACAACCTGGGCACATGTACTTGACCGGAATTGAACCCAAAACCCTTCAGTCCACAGTCTGACCCTCTATCCACTGAGCCAAACCAGCTAGAGTTGGTTTCACTTTTTATGAAATTCTAAACACTAAGAATGATATGTTCCCACTTTTAATGAGTATACAGAATCAAGGCATCATATTGGAAAAGACGAAATGATGGGAAATAACTAAAACTGGGGATTCCAGTGAATTGTCTGAATTAAAATGCAATAATGCACAATAATTAAAAATTCAGTTCAGTGAAACAAGTTTTTAGTAACTAGTGTTTTATAACCCAGTAAGTCCCTCTTATTTATAAAAGCTGATACTGTCTACCTAACTTGGTTATTTAAGTAAACAAGTTGCTATGTAAAAAGAAAGAAGAACCTAGAAGAAACTGTAGCTCTTTATAGTTTTTTAGCCTTCTAAGAGCAAATTCTGTCTTCAGTTTCACTTTTTTAGGAAGACTTTCCTCTGAGATTTTGGGAAATCTACATTAGCAATAATTTAATGTAAATAAGATTGCTAACTCAATAAAACATCTAAAAAAATCAATACAAAACGCTCATGATATATTAACTGGAAATGATAGATATTTGATTCATTGCATTTTATACCAGTACACTTAATTTACTGTAGCTCCGGAAAAACGATGATGCCATACTTACATTTCTATTACAGATCTCACAGATGCTGGTCACAAAAATAAAACATCATTTTCACATCCATTAGCCAGTTTGTAGTATTTTCTCTTCAAGGCTGGTTCATCCTGTGCTGCAAAAGAAAAATTTTAAACATCAAGTTCTCTACAGACTAATTAAGATCACCAAAAGTCTTTTAAAAAATACATTTCTTTATTGATTTCAGAGAGGAAGGAAGAGGGAGAGGGAGAGAGAGAGAGAGAGAGAGAGAAATATCAATGATGAGAGAGAATCATCAATCGGCTACCTCCTGCATATCCCCCCACTGGGGATCGAGCCTGCAATCAAGGCGTGTGCCCTTGGCTGGAATCGAACCTGGGACCTTTCAGTCCACAGGCCGACGTTCTATCCACTGAGCAAAACCGGCTAGAAGAGCAAGATCACCAAATTTATTAAATTTTGCATGATCCTTTCATTTAACATATGTCAGTGGCAAATTTTATCTTACAGGTGGAAAAATTTCAAGACAATGATGCCTGCTTTCACCACTGCTATTCAGCATTATACTAGAATTGAAAAGACATTAAAAGGCATACAAATTGCTAAGAAGTTAATTTCCCTTATTTGCAGAGATAGTAAAACTATTTCTGTTCTCTATATTGAAAATCTCGAAGAATCCACAAGAAAGCTACTACAGCTAGTAAACAAATACAGCAGCAGGTTGCAAGTTCCCAGCACAAAAAAGCCAGTTTTGTTTCTATATCTAGCAGTCAACAATACAAAAAGGAATTCAAGAAAGCAATTCTATTTACAGTAGTATCTAAAAGAATGAAATACTGAGGAATCCACTTCACCAAGGCGATGAACGACTTATACAAAGAAAACTATAAAACACTGCTGGGAGAAATTAAAAAAGCTAAATAAATGGACAGACAACCTGTATTCATGAATTGGAAGACCACACTACAGATGAATTGGATGACAACACTACACAAAATGATGTACGTACAGATTCAACATAATTCTTATAAAAATCCCAACAACCTTTTTTGCAGAAATGGAAAAGGCAATCCTTAAATTCAAATGGCATTATGATGGGCCCTAATTACCAAAATAATCTTTGAAAAAGAACAAAGCTGGAGAACTCACATTTCTGGATTTCAAAACTTACCACAAAGCTACAGTAATCAAGACAATGTGGGTACTGGCCTAACAATAGACAAATGCTGCAAGAGCCCAGAAATAAACCCATATATCTATGGCCAACTGATTTTCAAAAAGGGTGCCAAGTCCATTCAATGGGGAAAAAAAAATAGTCTCTTCAACAACTGAATTTCCACATGCAAAAAAATTAAATCAGACCTCCACTTCACACTATATACAAAATTAACTCAAAATGGATCAATAACCCTAATGTAAGAGGTAAAACCACACAATCTTAGTAGAAAACATCAGGGTAAATCTCCATAATCTTGGATTTGACAAGGGATTCCTAGATGCGACACCAAAAGCATGAGTAACAAAATTAAAAATAGATAAATTGGACTTCATCAGAATTAAAAGTTTGGGGCATCAAAAGACATTGTCAAACAAGTAAATGACAACTTAGAGAATGGGAGACAATTTTATCAATCACCTCTCTGAAAAGCGCTTAATCTCCAGAATATAAAAAGAACTTCTACAACTTAACAACAAAAAGACTCCCCCCCCAAATAATTTAAAAATGGGCAAAAGAAAGACTCTTTTCAAAGATTTATAAATGGCCAATAAGTACAGGAAAAGGTGCTCAACATTATTAGTTATTAGAAATATAAATGAAAATCATAATAATATGCCATTCCACATCTACTTGGATGGCTACAATTTAAACAAACAAACAAACATGTAACAAGCATTGATGAGGATGGAGAAATTGGAACCCTCGTACACTGTTGATGGGAATGAAAAATAATACAGCCACTGTGGAAAAGTTTGGTGGTTCCTCAAAAAAGTTAAACATAAGATTGCCATGCAATTCCACTCCTCGGTATATATCCAAAGGAACTAAAAACAGGGACTCAGATACTTGTACATCAATGTTCACTGCAGAACTATTTACAAAAGTAAAAAAAAACAAAACAAAAAAAACCACCAAAAACCAAAATGGTGGGCACACACAAGTGCCCAATAACAGAAGAATGGATAAACAATATGGCATATCAATACAATGGAGTATTATTCAACCATAGAAAGAAATAAGGTTCTGACCAATGCTACAACATTGATGAGCCGTGAAAACATCATGCTAAGTGAAATAGGCCAGACACAAAAGGACAAATGTATGATCCTACTTATATGAAATATTAAAAATAGGCAAATTCAGAGACAGAAAGTAGATTAGCGATTACCAGGGGCCAGAAAGAAGGGTAGAATTTCTGTTTAAGATGATGAAAATGTATTCTACAGCCATTACCTTCTTCAAGGAAGTAGTGTGTGCAAAAACAAGATCACAGTAAGACCTCCTGCTATTTATATGCATGTCCAGGTTTACAACCATTAAGCCAGCCTTCTCAAGGTGCCTCTTGTTCAGAGAATCCAGAAGCACTAACCAAACATCACCTCAGTCATCAGACCCTTTCTTCACATTTAATATTTCCTCCTTCCACTTCACCAAGCATCATGACATAGCACTCTCACTTCAAAATCTGGTATTTTAGTGTTTAAAAGACAAATGTTTTAAACATGATATATGTCCTTAAAATACAAGTCAGCTTATCCCACCAATTTAACAAAACACTATTTCAAAACTAGAGAATTTTCTAAAGTAACTGACTAAAAAGGGTTTCTAAATAACATTTCTGTTTTACTTTGATTTTAGAACTTAGTCTTTACATGATATGACTACAGTCCTGATTCTCCCTCCACCCCATCCTTTTTCTTTACCATCTACAGCTTCAAGTTGCCTACACTTCAAGGGCACACAGAAGACTCCATTCACGTCCCTCCTGCAGCCTACTCAGAAGAGAATTGCCCATTTTCACACACAAGACAGGAGGAAACATTCTACTATTCAAACAGCATTACTCACTATTGGTTATTCTCTTCAAGTTTAACTCCTGACACATCACTGTGAATCTATTTAAATATCCCTGAGAATGAATCATCCAACACCTAACTCAAGAGATTTTTAAACTTGCCCCACTGAGGCTGCTTGTTAAAAATATGCATTCTCCGGCCCTAACCCTCAAGATTCTAATCTAGGCCAATAGACAAGGATGAAACCCAGGAATCTCACTTCAAGTGCTACTGATGCAAGTAATGCTTCAAACACAATATGAGAAACAGTGTCCTCAGTTTTTAGTTCCTAAAATCCTGAATTCAAAGGACTTCACCCCCTTCCTCCAGAAACAAAGTATGATGGCCACATTTGGAATCAGATGCCACCTAAAACTGCTGCCTCTCTAAATCTTAACCTCATTCTCAGACCACAAACTCTGGTCCTTCTGGCTCACTTACCCATTCCCACACCTGCTCATTCCTTTCATGGGGACTTCCAGTCCCTTAACCATCACCCTTCCTTTATCCAATTCCCATTCTCATTTTCTTTCCTGTCGAATCTGGAGCCCAAGCGTTTTAACTTAACAATTCCCTTGGTCCCCTCCTATCTGTCTCCCATCTACATATGCCACAAACCGCTATCCCTGTGTGAATCTTATCAATGCGACATCTCAGCTTCCATGCCTTAACCAATGAGTGCTAATGGAGAAAACGAAAAACTCTCCAACCAACCCACTCCAACCAACCACACCAAATTTGGTCAACTTTTACACCCAACTCCTTTGTATTCTCTCTCTACTCTCTTGCCATTGCTAATTCCCTAGTCTAGATATGTATCATTTCTCATCTAGATTACTGTACAGCCTGATTATCTTGCTTCAGTTTCACCCCTCAAATTTATTCACTAAGCCTCTGAATGATATACTTAAAAGCCAAAATGGACCTCCCATATGTGAAGCTCTATACTGACTCTCCAACCTATACAATAAAAGCTCCTTAGGACAACATTCATAGGCTTTAATGACCTGAAACCTATACGGAACTCTAGTATTATCCATTTCCCACAGCCACTCTAACAGACTAATACTCTAGTTATACCACATTACTCAGCTCTCCAAACTTTCTTTTGTAATTCTGCATTTCCTCCTGTCTGGCATAGGCTACCTGTTTTACAACTTATTAATGCCACTGTCACTTCCTCTATCTTCAAAATACTGTTCATTCACCTATATTTTGTACAGCCTTCTTCTATTAAACCATGAACCCCTTGAGGTTAGGGACTGTTTTTATAGCTCTAAGTGGCTAGTATAATACTGATCAATTTTGTTGACTTAAACTGATATTTCTTGGATGAATGAAAAGCTAATTCCTAATGTAATTGTTAAGAGAAATAAAATATCAAAAAACTAAACTTATTTACTTACATATCACAACATTTGAGTCTAACTGTGAACAAGGCACTCAGCCACAAAAATATATAAAGATATCTAAGTTCTAATCCTTTCTTTAAAGAGCTTAAAGTCAAAAAGCAGGAATTACTACATTTACAAATATAACATTCAAGCCATCTTTATATCTTTTGATACGCACAAGATTTACCTAACTATTGTTCACTGACAATGAATTCTCCAGAATGCAGATAAAAATCCATGAATAAAACCAATTTTAATAAATCTTGCAAACTACAGTAACTTTTCCAATTTTTATACCTATGGATAATTTTCACAGATTCTAAATGGACAGTAACAACTGGGGTAAGGAAAATGAACAAAAACCCATATAGTAATCCAGATATTAGCTATGTAAACTGTGATCCCCAACCAGTATCAGTATCACCTGGGTACCTTACAAATGAAAAGTATGGATCCAGGTGATTCATATGCATATTAAAGTTTGGAAGCACTATTAGACCCACTGGATGCTCAAAACCACTCTGGGAGATATGACTATTCCCAATTAGAAATGATGAAACCCAATTTCAGAAGGATTTGATAATCAATACTGGGTGATGGGATTCAAACTCAAGTATCTTAGAAAAAATTTTTTTTTCAATGTACTGTATCTCAGAGAAAAGGCCTAAAAATTCGAATTTTCTCTTAGCCATATTAAGAATTAAAAAAACAGTAAAATTAATTTAAAAGTATATTTTATTTAGCCTAAAATATTCAAAACATTACCATTTCCACATATATTCAGTATAAAGAAATTATTAATGGGGAATTTTACATTCTTATATGTGTGCGTATATACTCTTTCAAATCCAGTGTGTTTTTTAAACTTACATAGCACAACTCCATTCAGACTAGCCACATATCAAGTGCGCAATAGCTCCATGTGGCTAGTGGCCTCCATACTGGACAGTTCAGGTTTAGAATGTTTTGTATGTTAACAATTATTTTTTAACACAAAACTGGCTATTTACTACAAGACTCTCTAAATACAGAAAATGAACTCCATGCTACTTTTCCCCCATCCTTGCTGGCACAGATAAAAAGAAAATTTGCATATTCTATTGAGATAAAAAATTGAGAGATTTAGGTGGTCCCAATTCTGCCAAACTGACCCATTAACTCTTATCCTCTGAAAATGGGTACAAAATAGAGCATGGAATGTTAACATTTAGAAGGACATGTGAAATAGCTCTCAGAAATCATCTACATTTGAAATCAAAGATTTTTTTTCTTAAATGGGGCCCTCTCCCCATTTAAGAAAAAATCTTTTTTTTTACTTTCAACCCAAAATCCAAAAATAGTGTAGTGTAATTCTAACTACAGGCCAGAAATAATTTGGCAAGCATAAGTAATTCAAACATACATTCTAGTAAGTCCTGCTGCAATGGGTGATTTGTAAATTATACACCAAACTCAATCCAATTTGTGAATCACTATAGTAAATTTTACACAAAATCTTAACATGCAAATTATCAATTAGTTAATACATTAATATTCCTTCTCAAATAAAGATAACATAAAAAGCATAAAAAGAGAAAAGACTTAAAACTAAATTAAGATATTTCCCTCCCTTAACAATTCTGGAGGGGAAAAGAAAGGTGAGAAACTATATTGAAAATATATATGAAGGAGTTTAGAAACCATGAGTGACTTGGCATAATTCACCCATTCAACTAATTAAGTAAATATAACTGAAAAAAGAAGTAATATTGTATTATTTATATCTTATGGCCACTCAACAAATTCACACTCCTGATATTTGCATATACTGTTATTTTTTCTGAAAATATCTAGTATTATAATTCCACTTTTCAAGTCAGTCATAAGGTGAAAACAAAAAAAAACCCAAGTTTATTTTTCAGATAGTAGATTCAAATGAATATCTTTTTAAAGAGCCAAAGAAAAAGATAAGCATATACTAGTAACAGTTAAAATATCAAATTAGAGATTTGAAGAATTCCTGTATTTCCTAATTAAACATTTTCTAATGTTTAATAAAATAGTTTTTACTCTTTGTTTATTCAAAATGTATAAAACAGGAAAATATTTTATATAAAATCTATCAAAGACAGAAAAGGAAAATACTTCAAACCTTCCAATTTTTGTTATACAAACTAAAAAAAAAAAAGCAAGGACCAGTAAAAGGAAGACTAGAGATGGGCTGTAATTTAGCATATACATCTTTGGATTTCTCAAGAGTCCCAAACTGAGATGTCACCAAATGCCCTAATGTTTCCATTTTTAGCTTTCTCTCTCAGCCCCCCGTTAAAACTCAACTTACAGAAAGCACAGGTCTTACCGAGAAACTTGAAAACTTTTCCACTACATGGGGGTCCAATACTTTATTTTAAAGAATTATTTCCCTTATTGTATAGCACTTCCTTTAAAAAACATCACTGGATGGCTACCTATAGCCTTCACAATCTTCATACTCAAGCATTAAACCTTTACTTTTCACCCCAAAATGCGGTTGGCTCTGCATTTTAACAAAACATGAAATGTAAATGTGAACAAATATTGTCTTTTAATCATATCAAACAGGAACTTCATAGCCTACAATTATTTTGTAAATAAGAAAGTCTCTGCCACTAATGATCTGTGCGACCTTGGTCATGTCATAACTCCCATGTCTTGGTTTTTCACCCTACTCTATACTTCTGTAATTCTAAATACTTTAATTAACAGTCACTTAACAGCAGGTTTTGTTTTAATTAACCAAAAAGGTAATAAGCCAGGAACACTAAATAGTCCATAAATAAGCACACGTGGTTTGCAGCAGAATGTTAACAAGATGGTTTTCATACCCACAGAGATTGCTCTTAATTCAGCCTGTTGTTTCGCAAATTCAGGTTCCTTAGGCACAGTCAGAAGCCAGGCAAGAGAATGGAAAAGGTTCAGGACCTACTGTTACTACAAGGGAGGAAAGAAAGCACTGAAATATCCAACTGACAGCACGCCAGGTGCTTCATGCTAGTAAATGGCTAATACATAATATTATCTAAACAGGTCAATATCATGAAAAGAAAAGATTTAATACTATTTTTTTTCTAACGAGTTAGGAAATCATTTTTGAGTCATTAAAAAATACCTGCGCCATTCTTCTGACAATTCAAGTTGGTGGACACTGACAAAATATTTTACCAGTTGAAACATGTCTTCATTTCTTTATTCCTTCCTCTCGTCTAATGACCAGCTCTTTAGAAATATAATTTTCCTGATGGTTATAACACTACCACGATTTTAACAATCTGTAAGTAACAAAACCTGCAACGGTTTACCATTGTTTTCATTTTGGCCACAACTTAGTGGCCCCTTTGAAACATAAATTCTAAATCAAAGATTGGGCTTAACAAAATGCTCCAATCTCAGATATACAAGGCTAAAACAAACACATCCGAAACCTGTTTCTAGAGTGACGTTCACTCTCTCTCTTTAGAATGAGATTTACTTGACCTATTTCCATGTGTTTTAAGAACACCAGGTACTCATCACAAACAACATTTGCTGGTCATAAAAACACCAAAACCAGCATCATGAACCCTATTTGTGAGGGTCGTTTTCTTCATGTGTCCTACATACCACGTCTCTAAAAAAACCTAAATATAGGCTCACTTTTAAAAAGAGTCTTAAGTCTTCCAAATTCTGTAATGATATTCTACTTTTCAATGCCAGTTTATACTTTCGCATCCTGTTTAAAAAAATAAACACATCGGGATGGGGGGGGGGCAACTGAAATGTCCATCACGCAGAGAGAGACACAGTTTTCTAACACTTCTTGGCTTTCTTTTCCCCTCAATTCCAGGGCCAGTATTACAAAAACATTACGTAAACAAAACGTACGGGCTTCTGAAAACTTGCTCAATAATGCTCACTAAAAGGCCAGCTAGGGAATAGAAATAAAAACATACACGGAAACGGATACTGAGGGGGGAGGGAGGCGGATCCCGTGGCCAGAATGTGTGTGCAAACTCAAAGCAATGTTGCAGCCTGTCCGCAGGCACCTCTGGAAGATAAATAGCGACAACAATGGGGGGCCCGCACTCTTCCGGGCGGGATGGGTGGTGGGGGGCGCTCCGCACCCGGCACCCGGGAGAACAAAGCCACAGCCTCCGCTTTTACGATGCACGGAGGGTTTTTGGAGGCCCCACCGGTGCTGAGAGGTGTCCTCCTGGTTCCGATGCTTCAATCATCATCAAAACCGCTTGGCAGATGCAGCGCTGGGTTTACATGGGATGAGGCGGGGGGACCCCTCTCCGCGGTAGGCAAGACCCAGACACCGAGCGGGGAGGGGCCCCCCGGCAGGAAAGGGAGGGAGAGAGAGCAGCGGCCAGAGACACCCCAGCAAAGGACAGAATGCAGGGACCGTCCACCCCGGGGGCGATCTGACCCCAGCCCCGGGGAGAGGCCTCCGCACGGGACACCGGGAGCGGGCTACCTCCCAAGCCACCGCCGCCCCGAAGTCATCGGAAGGA